TGAAACTGAAGATTGGAAGCTGGATGCTGCCTCGGAGGGGGAGTTGAGATCGGTGCTGGATGCAAGTTTGGATTGGTTTAACCTCTTGGGGTTTCTTGTCACCATAAGGCAAAATAAGAACTTAGAGGAAATTGTTATGGTGCCTAAACTGTCCCTTTAAAAAGTTACAAAATTAAAATCTTTTTTTATAATAATTTGAAATGTTTCTCCAAAAATATGAAATAATTAGAAAATCCTATTTAACAATATTAAATCAAGGTCATACAGATTTTATGAAAATGCAAAGACTAAAGGTACACTTGATTGAATTGTTTAAATGTCTACAGCCTGGCTATCAGTGTAAAGTTGTGTTCATTAACACTGCAATTTCATTTGTGAGGCTGCATTGTGCTTTTAAAATTTGCTTCAGTCATAAAATGTCACTTTTGAAACGCCAATACTTATCTTGTTATATTGATTACTGAGATTGTTTGTTTTTTGACACACTCTGTTTATAATAATTCAGAAGATCCGTTTTTCTCTCCTTTTTTGTCTTCAGGTGCTGGAGGAGGTCTGATCTCCAATTTTGAACAACTTGTAAGAGGTGTCTGGAAACCAGAGAGCAATGAACTTCTCAAGATGTCCTAGTATGTGAATGGGTATTATTGTTTAGTCTATTGTGATTTTAAGCTAGCTGTACAATATTACAATATTGTAAATAAGACCTTTTGTAGAGGTTACGTGCATTATATTTATTAAATAACACCTGTCTGCATTATTTACATACCGATAACAAAAACGTATTTGTTTATATACAGTTATAGTAATATTTTTTGTGCCATTTAGTAGAATAATACTATAGGCAACCGCGCAGTGTGTGTTAATATGGGCATAGTGTAATTGAATTTGCGCTTATTTTTCCTTGATCATGCAAGGCTGGAGATTTTTTATATTTTTTTGTAAATCTTTGTTTTATTGAAGCATTTTATGTTCATTACAGAAGAGAAGAAACAGATGAATGATATATCAGCGAATTTTCATAGCTTATATCATAGATACACATTCACGTTTATGTCTGCTTCATTTTATGTTTTATGAGATGTCGCCTTGTCTGATTAGCTCGCCATATGTGGTTATGGTAATGCACTAACAATGTACGTTTGCTCGGATGCAATGCTTGACTGGGCACTTTAATGAGAAAACAACGTAAGACTATGGACGGTCTTAAACGTCTGAGCCAGCAATTTATAGGACAGGCTAAGGTCTTCGCTTGGATATTAATATATTGTTATATCAGTAAACACGCTAGTCGCGTTGTCTCGGTTAATGTCGCTGCGGCATGTCATCTATTGTCATAGGCTAGTTTTGTCTCGTTTCATTCTATCATTGAGCGCTCACGTGTTGATTAAGGGGAGCGGACTAATGGAGATCGCAAGAACAATTGGGCATATCTCCGCGAGCCGAGTAGGTGTGTCACGTCATGTTAAACGCAAGCTAGTTGTAGTAGCTAATGTGCTAGATGTGTGTATGGTCTGACCCCCTTGCTAGGTTCCCCACATCGCTAGATGCAAAATATACATCTTTAAGGTTATCACCAGCAATGCCTGCCCATCGGTTCAATTGTTTAGCTAACATTCAGGTTACTTCTGATAGAGCACTACACAGCACTCTGAATTCTGAATTTGCACAAGTGCTCGACAAGCAGCCAGGCAAGCCAGAGTACACGATAGTCATAGTATGCATGGTGACATGAGTAACCTGGGATCAAGCCTCCTCAGTTCGTCATAGGGGCTGCAAAAATCACCAGTCTGTCTTATTGTGGCAGGATGAAGGCAGGTGTCGTTTAGCTATACGGTCTAACTCGTAGGTGTGCCATGCCATTCCAATGCTGTAGGTTAGTCCATGTGCTTTCCCTGCCGAACGGGTTCACAGGGTCCCTGCATCCGCCGGGTCTTCCGTTGGACACTACTGGCGTGGGCCTCCATGGTGTTTCCGCTGTCGTGGTGTCTCTGCGTCCAGGAGCCACTTGCCTTCGGCCTGAGGCCTTAATAGGCGCTCGTTCCCTGTCGCCATTGATCCCATCAGCGGGATCGTGGGCCCAGGGTTCCGCCGGATACCTTACTTCTCCCTGAGGGTATGGCAGGCTGTGGAGGGGTTCCTCCTTGTGGGCGTCCAGCTCAGATGAAGGGTGAGTGGCCATCCTGTCTTCATGAACCACGTGGGTGGTGAGTTACATGTGCCATGCGCCCGGTAAGTCTCCGAACTTGGGGACTGCTGCCCGGTGTGGGTCTGTTGATGCTTGTTGCCCTGTACGCTGGGCCAGGTGAGAGCTGTAATCCGTTTTTTGGCTCTGCGTTTCAGTACCTGCGTGCATGGCCTCCGCCATCTTTAACGTGGGCTCTGGACCTGCATGATGCCGTGTCACTGCCTCCGAGTGTGGCTGTGAGGCTTGGTCGGGGGGAAATCGGGACTGGGGCCGGGTCCACCGATGGTCCACGTGTTTGTCGGGCTCCATCGGGCAGGATAGTGGAGCAGCGGCCATCTACTCCACTCACCGCCAGGTGAGGTCTCGTCTGGCGCAGCAGGGATCTCCCCTCCGAGGGACTAGAACTCCGGGAGCAAGCCTTTCCTCAGCTCAGGAAGCCCATTCACTTTGTGGGTAACAGCTACAGGCAAGTAATTTCTCCCATAATCACGTTTTGTAAGCTTTGTAGGTTTCATTTTGCAGGAGCTGAGCTCTCCTACGACTGCTCAGCTCTGCGGCCCGGCCCCGCCCCCCCAATGCTGGAGATTTTGTGACATTATAGTGATACATGTTTAGCCTCTATAAGGCATTAAGCATTTATTATAACTTTCTGTGTCCTGTCAGGAAAAGTAATACCTCCAGTTCTCTGACACATTTAGAATAACAGGAAAAACAAACAAAGTAAAAAAAAATTTCTAGGTTGTACAGCGCTGTGCCAAATACTGGCGCTATAGTGAAATGTATAGTGTTGGTGTTTAACCCCTAGTGACCATGGCTGTGTCAGGTACTTCCAACAAAAAACGGTCCTTAAGGAACGCGGACGTACCATGATTTCTTCCATCAGCTCTAATGGTATTGCAGTGATGCCTCGATGTTGATTCATCGCTGCAATACCCCTCTCACTGCCGGTGGCCACGTGGAGCCTGGCAGTGAGGCAGAGTAGCGTTAGCCAACAGGCAGGCTTCCGATGCTCTGTCTGTACTGAGGGCCTCGAGGTCAAGGCACTCAGTTAAAGTTACAAAAATTTTAACCCCTACCCTCCCTTCCTCCCTCTTCTCCCCATGTACTTACCGCCATTCTCTCGCCAGCGATCAGTCTTCTTCTTAGGGGGGACTGACTAGCCTCAGCCCAGACAGTCCCCCCTCTGCACTGTAGGACTAAAAGAGCGGTCACATTGCCACAATAGGTGTCCACAGTGCACAGCAGGGGGACTGCATGAACTGACAGGCAGCCCCCTTGCTGGTGTAGAAAGTTAAAAAAAAAATATATAGTGCATTTTTTTCTTATCAATACATACATATATTAATAGGCAACTGCTTAAAATATATTAACCCTTAGATAGGTCAAATGATCTTCCACCAGCCAAAGGACCTATAACCCTATCCCCTAGGTAAGGAGGGGTCACCTGGTTGTACTAGTATAACGGGGTGACCCTAACTACTAGAAATAGAAAAAAAATAACAATATCCCAGACGTCCACTCCAATGGAGATGGGTGTATGGGAATTAGTACAACCTGAAATAGAGTAGTAGCAACAACAAAAAATAAAAAACCTTTATTGACTCTAAAGTCGTGCAGCTACTATATCTAATAAAGGGTCCTAAATAGGAAACAAATGTCTGCATACCGGGTAATGGGGTATCAGCCCTATGAGGCAGACAAGGGGTACGTAAAGCGTTCCACTTAAGAGGGATACCATACTGCCAAGCAAAACCTAGTAAGGGGTAATTGGGGAACACAGAGGGATAATCTGTATCTCATTCAAAAAAAACAAAAAAAACCCTCCTGGATATTAGCTAATAGGATATTAAAGAATGAATATAAGAGGAACAGAAAGGCTCCTAAAACGATTATAAAAAAAATCACTGCTAGGTTTCCACCATAACCACCATACCCCATAGAGAATATATATCCATCGGTCCCTAATACCTCGGCACCGCACTTAGCTAATGCCTACCTGAACCAAGGACCCTAGAGAAGTTAACTCAAAAACAAAGTGAAGTGCTACCTAACAAGTGAAGGAGTGCATAATAAAATGTTAAAACAAATGAAGCCCGACACGTGTTTCAGCGTATTAGAACGCCGTCGTCAGGGGAAAAGTGAACTGTCTCATCAAGGAGTCTGTTTAAATATCCTATGGTTCATTACCCAGATTAAAGTCAGCCGTTAAGGGGTCAAGGCACTCCGTATTAGTAAGAAATAAAATTAAAAAAAAATAACTTTCTACCCACCCTTCCTCTCCCTCCCCATATACTTACTGATCGCTGCCATCCCCCGCCGGTGATCAGTCTTCTTCTTTGGGGGATTCTCTGGACTGAGCCCAGTGAGTCCCCCCTGTGCAGTTTAGGACCCCAAGGGGCCATGTGACCGCCCCATAGGTGTCCTCAGTGCTACCTGCAGGGGGAATGCCTGAACTGACAGGCAGTCCCCCTGCTGGTGAAAAAAAGTTAAAATAAAGTTTAAAAAAAATAAATAAAAGGTAATTTAAAAAAAATAAAAACTATATATATCTATCTATATATATATATATATATATATATATATATTATATATAGTATGTAATCTCTTATAACGTCATACTAAGTGTATTTTTTATAAATATTAATATAAAAATACACTTAAAGTAAAATTACACGTGTGTGTATATATATATATATAACATATATAATAACTACATATATTGTGTATATATTAAATAAAATGTAAAAATAATTAAAAAAAAAATTATATGTAATTTTATTCAAACTGTATTTTAATGTTAATATATTCATATCAAAATACACTTAGAATGTGTGTGTGTGTGTGTGTGTATATGTATGTATGTATGTATATATGTGTGTATATATATATATATATATATATATATATATATACACACACACACACACAGTGTCCACAGTGCACAGCACTGTGTGTATATATATATATATATATATCAACAAATGTAGCTGCAGTCACGGTCTGTAGTTAAAATCAACGTTTCAGTCCCCCTTGTGGACTTTCCTCAGGATCAGAACATGAATGCTGGTATACAACAGTTCAAATATATACATGCATAATTAGTGAAATAGGTGTAATTTTCTAACTTACCCCAGGTGTAGCGTGTTGCCGTCGGCGTTCCTCTGAATGCCAGGCGCATGCGTGTGGTGACCCCTTGTGACGTCAGCACGAATTGACGTGGTGACGGTCAGCTTGTCTCCATGGCAATGCTAGTACACAGATCGTGCGTGCACATGAAAAGCTGACGAGATGATGAGTCCTCTAAGGCTAAAGTGCATGAAGTTATATTTAACTTCCGTGTGGTCTTTCATATATTGGAAAAACTGAAACGGTCTTATGTGAACGAATAAAAAAATTCTGGATACATTTGAGCCTTGGCTTGCACCTGGCAATTTACTTATTAAAGTTCAGCTTGAGTGCAGGAATATTTTCTGTTTTTGTGTGTGTGTATATATGTGTGTATGTGTGTGTGTAATTGTATTAACTATCCACATACTTCAGGTGCAAGGGGTTTTCAATCACAATTTTTCCCCACCATAACCTATTTGGATTATGCTTCCCAAGCACTACCAAGCCTCACTAAGCAAACCAGTAACCAACCTCATGCTGAAGAGTTGCATTAACAACGAAACAACTGTCCATGAGTGGTTCACTGGTTTTGCATCTTATCCTAAATTGTGTTCCAAGCAGTTGTATACTGCAAACACAAATTAAAAGGAATCCATGTTTAAAATGGAATGAGGCAAAAATGTGATTCTTTGTTAAACTAATTTGCATATGCCCACCCAGAATCCTTTGCGGTTGTAACATCACTGCTGATTTGGGATTTCTGTGGGAAAAGTAAGTCTTATGGCTTGACTGGTGTGCAGATTTTTGTTTAGCATTGTAATATAAATATATATATATATATATATATATATATATATATATATATATATATATATATATATATATATATATATATATATATATATATATATATATAATCAGCGCCAATTAACCTAAAATACAGGATAAAAACAGAATATAAAAAAGAAGGGCTGCGCCAAACTAAATAAACAATATTCAATCCAAATAATGGTAGTGGTATAATAAAAGTCCAACCTAAAAAGTGTTCTCTCTGTCGTCCTAGGGTACAGGAACAGGGTCTTCAGGTATAATATAAAAGATAAAAAGTACTTACAAGTACAGAGCAGTCCAACTGCTCTTTGATGTCAGCGCTGGTGGAATAATCCCCACCTAAGGATTTCTTTGACTGCCAGGAACTTGCAGAAATGGTGTTAAAATCAGAATAAAATTATAAAATATATATTTATATAATATGCCAGGGGTAAATGTATAAATAAAAGTGATTGGAACTATCAAGTAACCAAAACATACTCAATTATATATCAAATTACCAATATTAGATAATTTGCAGATAATACATCCTTTAGTAAGGCATATTCTGTCGTTTTTTATTAAAAACAAAGGTAAAAAAGGATTTAAAATCACGAAGACATTGTATCACGTGATTTTGGGGCATTTCCGGTTTCGGAGGTGTGGCCGCGAGGTCTTATGGGTATAGTAGTTCCCCCATGCGGCGGCCATTGTGATGGGAGATGAAGAAAAGGAAATAAAATTTAAAATTTAAAAAGTGCATTATAAAATCATCAATCGATAGTAGATGATAAAGCAAGTAGATTAGAATAAAATTAATCTAAAAACGAGGGCGAGAAACCTCCAAAGATTATAAAACTTCCTGGTCACGTGATATACGGCACTTCCGGTTTCGGAAGTATAGCCGCAGAGCATTATGGGGCATGTAGTTCTCCCATAAGGCGGCAAAATAATAAAAAAATATGTAAATCTGGGCGCAGCATTTGACTAATAAGTGTTATAAGAGATATTGAAAGGGATAATAATAAGGAATAAAACTACCTTAAGAACAAACAAAGTGAAAACAGTACTTCCGGATTTTAGAGGTATCATGGGGGATGTAGTAGAGAATATGGAAGCCTAATTAGGCAAAGAAAAAAAAAAAGGCTAAAGGGACCAGGACTCTACAAAGTTATAAAGTAAAAAATAACCTTGGTTGTTATTAAAAAGCCACTAAAATAGCCTTAAAAATAAATAAAAAAACAGAGAATACAAAGATAAAATAAGATTCTAATCATTTTATAAGAAATTATGCAGATAAAAGTCTGCATTAAGACCATGGGGTATAAGAGTCTGGAGATTATACACCCATTCCATTTCTGTTTTTCCTAATATTTTTTTAATATCACACCCACGCCAAGGGGTGCAACATTTTTTTATGCCAATACACTTCAGTAGATGAGGATCTTTATTGTGTATAATAAAGTGTTTGGATACTGTATGATTTAAGTATCCATTTTTAATATTTCTACAATGTTCGCGAGTCGAGTCTTTAAACACCTTGTGGTCATCCCCACATATTGGAGGCCACAAGGACATTCGAGCAGATAAATACAATTTTTCGTGTTGCAGCTAATAAAATCATAGATCTTATACACTTTAGTTCTATTTGACATAAATTGAGTTGTTTTTGATAAACTCGAAGAGTCTGTGGTTCTGCATACTATGCAACTTTTGCATTTGTGGAAACCTTTGCTTTGAGGGAAAAAGGAAATGTTATTCATAGTGGGTACTTTTGTAAAGTTAGAAGTTAAAATAGATTTAAAATTAGGTGCTCCTCTAAAAACAATTTTTGCGTGATCAGATATGATAGGGTTAAGTACATCATCGTGTTTTAGAATATGCCAATGTTTATTTATGATCTTTATAGTTTTACTTTTATTATTGAAGTTAAAAATAATAGGGAAAGACATAGGTTCAATATCTTCTTTATTTTTATAGGTTAAGAGGTCTTTGCAGTCTTTTA